CTCTCTCCTTTCCCCTCTCCTCTCTGTTCATCCTGCTTTTCTCCTCTCTGCGCTCTCCCTCTTCCCTCTTCCCTTCCCTGCACCCCTGCTTCTCCCTCGCTCTGCCTCCAGCATGCTCTGAGATGAATGGGCCAATTAATCTTGCTGCCGCCACCTCTGTGGAGCTGCGCTGGTCCACGGGCATAGGCAGCCCTACCAGGAATGCCTAAGTGGTCCTTGGAAACCAAGGCTAGTTGGTAAAACAGCACATTCGTTCTTCCACAGCCTGGACACTCCAAAGGGGGCCCTTCCGAGCTAAGCCAAGATTTCTACACTGATGCATCAACCACCAGGGAGACCGCTGGGGTTACTTGTCACCCCCAGAAGGTGACATCCAGACCTACTGTTTCTACCTTGATATGTGGACTTGGGCATCCCTACCCCCAGTTGCACACTCCCCCTCTAGCACCACAAATAGCAGCGTGCTTGTGGGCATTTGATTAATGTGCTGCAGGCTCATGTTTGTTCATGCCGACTATATTCATGCATTCAGCTAATGTTTACTGAGCACCTACTATGTGCCAGACACTGTTACAGGCACTGGGGATATAGCAATGAACAAAGCAGTCCAAATCCTGCTCTCATGGAATTGACATTCTAGTGCAGAGAGACAGACAGTAAATAGATAAATATATACTATGTCAGGGGGTGGTAAGTACTGTTGAGAATGAAAAAAGCAGACCACGCAGGGTACAGAATGAGGAGCAGAGCAGTTCTAGATAAAGGGAGATCAGGCGGGTCTTTTACTCTGGGGGAACACGTTAATACCTGCTTCCTTAATGCGAGTGCCATGCTCCAGAAAAGTTAAGTGTCAATGAGATGACTGCATATTAAATCACATTTCAAATTGAACACAGGCAAGCCTTGCAGATATTAACATGCAGCAAATCTTTGAACCTCACTTTCTCAGGAGAAAAATGGGTTTAATAATTCTTGCCCCAGCTAGGTTACGGGGCTGCAGAGAGACTCATGAGATGAAATTTTAATTTTGTGGATGTACTTTGTAACCTGCAAAGCACTTTATTACATCAAAGTAATGTTATTGTTGTTAAAATGAAGACATAGTTAGCAAAGTAAATTACCACCTCCAAATAAAGACTTTGTGATAATCCAATTTTCATGTATTCAGTTGGCTAAGAAGAAGATTACACTTATATGGTTTTCAAATCCAGGCTGGCATCTTATTAAGCCTTCTGAGGACGGAGGAACAATTTGCGGTTGCCCCTGGCTATGACTTGCTGTCGGCAGTAAAGAGCATCCTGTCCAAGGGTGTCTATTAAAATCTTCATTTCAGAGCACCCAGTTAACCTTGAGACCCCAGCCTAGCTCACTCCAATCTATCTGAAATAAGAGCATGGGAATGAAAGAAAACCCCACCAGCCCTCATAGGTCTTAGGTGCAGCTCCATCCAGAACATTTAGAGGGGGGCGTTGTAGGGCCTGACCGACACGGGGGAGGGTTCCTCACTCAAGGGAGAAGCCGCTTGCTTCATGGAGTTTCTCTTTGTATGCAACATTTGGAGGCAAATGGAATCATCTCTACTTGGAAGGGAATTCATTTTATCCAAATAACACCACCAAATAGCCAGATTTATGGTGCACATCTCCAGGAAAGTGTTCAGCAACAACGAGATACTTATTTGTGTCCCTGTCCCCTTGGGACCACCCGCTGGCTGGTACAGTCACAGCTCAACTATAAGAATATGTGACAAGGACAACGGAGAGCGTGGTTTATAAATTATTTTCTGACACTGTTTAGGGAATGAGATTATAGGCAGGGTGGGTGGTGGCAGGAGGCAAGATCAATGGCGAATGTGTCCTCAGCAGACATTTCAAAGACCTCAGAATATAGCTTTCCATCCGGAGAGAGACCAGCGTCAATTCACCAATCAATGCACTTTTACTCAGCGTCTACTCTGGGCAAAGCATCCTATTAGGAGACTTGAAAGAGGCCCCCCAAATATTTCCAACATAGACCAGGAGCTCTCATTTTAGTTGGAAAGAGAAGACAGTCCTGTGGGTAAAAATAAGAGCCCTCTAAGAGGAGGTAGGAGAAGCTAATACTGTCCAATCTCCTGCCAAGACAGAGGTACTTAAATGACATTATCCCATCTGATCATCATCGCCACAAAGTAACATCATTATTCCCATTTAATGGATGAGAATACCAAGAGCAAAGAGGCTAAATGACTCGCTCAAGGTCACAGGGCCGGTGAGTGGCAGTCGAGTGCTCATTCTCGGTCCACTTAACGCTAATGGGGCCAGAATCGAGGTGAAGTTTCAGACTGACCTCCCTATTGATTTTGTCAGGGATGACCACATATTTTAGAAAAACAAAACAACATTTGGCTGTACTTCCTTTTGCTCTATCCCTTAAGCGGGGCTGGGGAACCACTAGCTTTAGATCTGAAGCTTTCATGTCCTTTTCTGTTGATAAACTCTATTTCTAAATAAGTAATTGTCCTTGTCGGTTTGTGTTTCCACAACCAGATCGCCTCCTCTTTCCTAGCTGGATGCTCCTTCCCCCACTGACATCTTCCCACGTTCCCTTAGCTTCTCTCTCTCTCTCTCCCTCCCTTCACACACGGAAAGTCAGACACACACCTTCCCACCACACACCCATATGCAAAATAAAATTAGAAATACTGCCCGACTCTCACGTATCTGGGGAATGAAGATCTTCAGTCAGTATAGCCCAAACCCAGCGCTCCGGGCTCCCTCCCTGCCAAGCCCCCGTGAGAGGCAGGCAGAGCTTGCGAAAGAGCCCAGACAGCCATGACTGTGACACAAAGCTGCTCTGAAGGGAAAAGGCCATTTGTGCTTTCCTGTGTCTGTCCTGGGGCTGCTGGAACTCACAGGGCTACCAAATGCCCAGAGGCCACCATGGGGCAAACTGCTCTTTCACTTATATGTAAGATCCTTTCAGAACATGAAAAGGTTTCCTGGCTGCTTTTTTGTTTTGATGTACCTCGATAAAATACAGAGAAAACAGTGTCTGATGATTCAAAAATAGAGGCTGAGCTGATAGGCATATGGCCCTCATTTGAAGGCATTGCTCTTATGTTAATCGACCAGTTGAGAAAGCAATAAGCAATTATTTACCCTCACTCAGAAGAATGAAGCAGGGTAGGTAGGTGACCTGTGACACCCAGGAAATTGAGAATAGCAATGGCACCAATATTCCTGCAGTGTCCGCTGTTTTTGAGGCTCTCTCCACTGCCTCCTTCCCCCATCTGACACACACTGGTGTCGCGATTCTCTTGGTGCCTCACGGTACCCACCTTAGAATAATGGCATTCCAGAAGGGAAAGGAAATAGGAACAGGGAGATGGGGGTGGGGCTCCAAGCAGAAGCTCCAGGTTCAAGCTCTGTTCTAGATAAACCCCTCTGTGGTCCTCCCTTCTCCCAAACCAGAGCTGCTTCTGGGTCCCAGGGTGATGCTGGGCTATGTAGTAGCCGAGAGCAGGACCATTAGTGCTATAACTGGGTTCAAATCCAGGCTCCATCACTTACCTGCTGTGTGACCTTAGAAATGTGACTTAGCTTCTCTGAGCCTCAACCTCCTGATGCCCAGAATGGGACTCATCCAGCTTCTCAGATCATGATGAGAGGATTAATGGAGCTGTCTTATATTAAAGACTTAGCACAGTGCCTGGTACGTAGTAAGGGCCCAATAAGTAGTGTCAATAATTATGAACTAAGACTCAAATAATGCTTACCCTGGGCAGGCCCTGCTTAAGGGCTTTACATATATTGCCATTTAATCCTCACATCTCTATTTTACAGATGAGAAAACTGGAATCCAAGATCTCATAGTAGTGAATGGTGGATGTCCAAACCCGGGCAGACAGGCCCCAGTCTGCCCCCGAGCCCCGGCTCTCCCCTCCTCTGTACACAGCCCTGCCGAGGAGATGGCACTGATCTTCCTGGGTGTTGCCTTGGCAAGCTGGGTTCTCAAACCCCCAGTTCCTTCAGCCCGAGCTGAGCAGGGAGCAGGGAGGGTTGTTGGTCACCGCGGGGAGGGAAGGACAGGGTGATGGCTGGAGCGTTCACATCAGGGCTGATTCCCGTTTCCCAGCTGGAAGCCACGGCTGAAGTCAGGCAGGGTGCCCCAGCCCGCTCAAGGGGACAGAGAAGAGGGGCAAGTCCACGACGCTGAGGCGGGTGGCCAGAGCACCGCCCCCAGGAGCGGAGGGAGGGGTGGCGGGGCTGGGGGGTGCCCAGCTGCCATCCCCGCCGCCTCCTGGCCCCCACTCGCTGGCGCCCAAGTGGGAGGCCAGCAGCTGCCCGCTCCCTCCTCCCTCCGTCCCCGCTACCTGCCCAGTGCCCGAAGCGAAGCGTGAGGAGGCTGCAAGCCAGCGGGCCGAGCCCACAACTTTGCAGTCTCAGGGAGGGCGAGAGCCGGCGCCCGGGGCTCCTCTTGCCGGCGACCAGCGCTCGGTGAGTTCATTCCCCCAGCCCTCTGCGGCGGTGCGGCGGCAGCGGTGGTGGCGGCGGCGCTGGGGGGCGGCTTCCCCGGCGTCCGCGAGGCAGTGGCCGAGAAGCCGGCGGCCGCCCGCGCTGCCCCCCGGGCTGGCTGGGGCTCCGGCTGTGCCGCCCTCGGCCGCGGGCGCGGCGGGCGCCAGTGCTGAACGGACAGCTCCCCGCGCCCTGGGCCGCCGGCGTTGGTCCCTGCGGTCCCTTCTCCCGCGCAGGGCCGGGGCCGCGGCTGCCCGCCGAGCGCCCCTCGCTCCCACAGCCCCGGTCCTTCGCCTCCTCGGCTCCGCGGCGCATCTGGAGGCTGCTCCCGCGCCCCCCTGGCGACTGGCGCCGGGAAGACACTTGCTTTGCCGGAGCCCCAGGCCGAGGGCTCTCCCGGTGGGCAGCGCCGCCTCAGCCTCCCGCGGGCACGGCTCGGGGAGGGGCCGAGCCCCCGGCGACCACCCCAGGCTTGCCCTGCGCTGCGCCCCAGCCGCGGAGGCAGGTCCGCGCTCCCCACGGCGGCTGCGGCTCCCCGGGGGACACTGGTACCAGCAAAGGGGATTCCAAGGTGACCAATCGCCCCGTCCTAACGGGACAGCCTGGACGGAGGCGCCGTGGCATCCGCCCATCCTGGGTGCAGCCGCCTTCCCAGAACTTTTCTCGCTCCTCCAGCCCTCGGCTCCTTAGCCCTCGGAAAAGTTCTCTCGGGCGCTGGGAAGCTGGGCAGGAACCCTGCTGTGTTCCGTTGGGTGGGGCGCGGTTGCGGCGGGGGCTGCACTCGGCGGCGGGGTCGACTCCCGGAAAGGCTGGCCAAGCACCCACTCGTGCGCCCGGCGCGGGCTTGCTGGCACCGAAGGGGTTTGGGCGCCATGGGGCTTGTTTGGGTTTCTCCCGCCAGGAGGGCGGGAGGCTGGCGCGAGGGGGTGGGGGTTCAATTTCGTCGCCTTAAATGAAAACGCTCTTTGCTAAGAAATAGCCCCGGCAGCCAGAGTCAGAGAGATGGGCTGAACAGGAGCCACTGACACAGGTATTTCGGCTGCACCCCCCACCCACCTGGTGCCTGAGAGCGCGCTTGAATGTATCGATTGTTTTAATTGATTTTTTAAAAAGCCAGGCGGCAGCGGCTGCGTGTGTGTACACACAGATATACACAGACACAAATACAGATGCCCAGGCGCACATAGATTACACGTACAGAGTCATGCACAAGGAAGCACGCACAAAGAAACACACACACACACACACACACACACGCTCCCCCCCCCCCCAAGAGCCTTGAGGAAGCAGTGAGGTCCCTGAATATTGCTGAAGGTGGGACTGAAGGGATGGAGAATGGGCGGGGGTGAAGCAGGACTTCCAGAAGGTCAAATGATGCTGTTCTCTCTGCCCCCGACCCCAAATCCTCCGCTTTCTCCTCCTAGGGAGGTTTGAACCAGAAATTCCAAACCTGAGCTCCTCTCACAGCCACAGAAGGCGGAGCCCTGTTGCCTACTCCCCCAGCCCCTCCGGACTGCGAACAGGTCCCTTCCTCTTTGTGTTTGACCCTGCGGCACCAGGGCGCAGAGTTCGCTCAAAACCAAGGGAGCGCCCCCCCCCGCCCCCCGCCCCGAGGTAGGGCATGGCCCCCGGCGACCACTGCGGTCTCAGGGGCTCCAGCTTGCACGGTCCGGGGTTAGGGAAGTGGGGAGAGGGGATCCGAGGGGCAGGGCTTGGGGGCGCGGATTTGCGCGCAGCCCTCGCGACGGGCGACACGCGGGAAGAGCTCAAGGGCGCCCCCTGGACGCCGCAGCCAATCAGTCAGTCGTCTTCTCCCCTGGGGCCCCGCAGGAATGTAATCGAGGATGCTGGCCCTGCGGCTGCTCAACGTGGTGGCCCCCGCCTACTTCCTGTGCATCTCCGTGGTGACCTTCGTGCTGCAGCTCTTCCTCTTCCTGCCCAGCATGCGCGAGGACCCCGCAGCCGCCCGGCTCTTCTCGCCCGCCCTGCTCCACGGGGCACTCTTCCTATTCCTCTCGGCCAACGCCCTGGGCAATTACATCCTGGTCATCCAGAACTCCCCAGACGACCTGGGCGCCTGCCAGGGAACCTCGGCCAGAAGGTCTTCGTGCTCCCCGCCCAGCACCCACTTCTGCCGAGTGTGCGCCAGAGTCACCCTGAGGCACGACCATCACTGTTTCTTCACCGGCAACTGCATCGGCAGCAGGAACATGCGCAACTTCGTCCTGTTCTGCCTCTACACCTCCCTGGCCTGCCTCTACTCCATGGTGGCCGGCGTGGCCTACATCTCCGCCGTCCTTTCCATCTCCTTCGCCCACCCCCTGGCCTTCCTCACGCTCCTACCCACTTCCATCAGCCAGTTCTTCTCCGGTGAGTGGGCCTTGGCAGGCATGTTGCGCTCTACACAAAGACCCCTACCACCCCAAAGCTTGCCAGACCCTAAACCCCAACTCCAAAGGTTGCCAGATTTAGCAAGTCAAAATATAGGACACCCCCCTCTAAATTAAAATTTCAGGTAAACAACTCATAGGTTTTTAGTATAATTTTGTCTCAAATATTGCATGAAACATACTTATACTAAGACAATTTGCTGTTGTCTTTCTGAAATGGAAATTAACTGCATATACTGTGTTTTATCTGGCAACCTCCTCCCCTTTCCCTCACCACCCTCATCCATCATACTGTCCATTTGCTCACAGAATTGTGACATCCAGGCAATGCACCTGCTCATGCCAGGCAGGGCTGGGCACTGGCCATTCCTCACGCAGCCCTCTGAGGGACACCCATGCTATGACCTTCCTCTGCCTGGACCCCAGCCCTGCTCACATATCACCCAGGGACTTTACCCTCCAGAGTTCTTGCCTCCCAACCTCGGTAAGATTGAACTTGGTGCCAGGCCAACCAACCCCAGCAGGAGGCTAAGCCCCATTGTCCTGCCCACCGTTTGACTCCACCAAGCTGTTCTCCAGCCTGCAGATGGCTCAGCGCAGGGGGACCTCTGGTGGGAGACGCAGCCGAGTTTATAATGGCTCCATCTCCACACTACAGAGCCATGGGCCTGGTGTGGCATCTGACCCTCAGGGAGGCTTTTACACCCGCAGAAGCCAGGCATGTGGGCTGTTACACTGGTGCCCAGTTGGGTGGCCTCGTGAGGACTGCACTTTAAATAGTGTATGCCAGGGAGCACTCCCTGATACCTAACCCTAGAAGGACTCTGCTCCCAGTAGCAATTCTTACCAGTTGACTTGGCTTTGAAATTTGCCCCACCGCATTTCCTTCCACTCCCTCCCCACCCTGGCCTTTGGCCTTTGACTCTGACTGACTTGGTTCCCACCACTGTAGTGCACACATGCATGCATGTGTATATGGCATTGTTATCTCCATTTCTCAGATGAAGAAACTGAGACTCAGATGGGATTGAATGGCTTGCCTGGGATCCTGCTACTATTGGGTAGCAGTCTCTGACCTGCTCCCAGGTCCTTAAACCAGTCTGACACCCTTCCTCGTGCCCAGAGACTATAGCATGTTCCCTCCCTCACCTGTTGACCTTCCAGGAACAGAGAAAGACAGGGTGCAGCTACTTCCACTGAGAGCCTAAGACTGTCTTGAGATGCCTGGGTTGGACATTCATAAAAATTCTGCTCCACTCTGGGGGAAGCCATCCTTTCCGTCTTTGTTGTGGCTGCAGCCCAGTTCTTCCCAGGCACAGAGCTATCATGCCATTTGGCAGTGGGAACACAGAGGTCCAGGGAGGATCCAGATATGGGGGTTGCCTTGAGGGCTGGTGGCTGAGCTGGGCCCAGAACTCAGAGCTCTCGGGCCTTCTGGATCCCAGAGCTGGCATATAGGCTGCTGGGACAAAAATAACCAGGACGGGGGAGGGTAGGTGGGCGGGCTGGGGGGTGGAGTGTGAGCACAGGCAGGTGGAGGGATGAGGAAAGCCAAAGAGCCTGCTTACACTTTCTTTTCCAAGTAGTTTCACCAACCATAAAAATGGATGGTTCCAGAAGGAGGATCTTGAAATGGTTTGATTCAAGATAAGTCTGGGCTTGGGGCCTGTCCATATGTCCTAGGTTTGGGGGACAGGAAAGAAAGGAAGAAAGGCCTCTTGCTTTGATCTGACGGGAGAACAGAGCCAGTCCGTGCTCACCTTGGGGCCCACACCCCTGTCTCAACATAAGAATGCGTCCCACTACCTTCCAGCTCCTTGCCACACCCCTAGGAAGAGGAGGCTGACATTTCTAATCTCCAACTCTCCTATCTCATCTTCCTCCTTTGTTGACCTTTCATCTCTCCTCTTGCCAGTCCTTTTTGTCTCCCCGTCCCGACGTGTAGCCCCCTGCTCAGCTGCCTCCTCTCGTCTGTCTCTGGTTCTCAATCCAAATGGTTGCGAACACACCCTCTCTCATCTGCTCAGGGACAGGTGGACGGGAGGGAGTAAGAAGGCACAAGTTGTTTAATAGAAATTGAGCTGTCCCCAATTCTGATACTGATCTGAGTCATATCGGCCACCAGAGAATGGTGTGAGTGGGGGCCCTCAGAGCTAAAAGTGGAAGAAGGGGTCTTCTAAAGTGGAGGTGGCTGCCCTCCACAGCTGGAGGGAGGGGGCTAGCTAGTTAGGTTTTAGAAGTTGTCCTTTCTTTTGGCTTGTGAGACCAGTACAGGCTGTGCCACCCCTCCGAACCTTGTTCTTATCTGGGAAGTGGGGATGCCACCATCTGACCTGTGTTGTGGCGTTTGGGTAAGTATGTCAGCATGGTAGGTGCCACCAGAAAGCCCTGTAGGAGGGAAGAGGGGACTAGTGTTCATGGAGAACCTGCTGTGTGCCACCGACTGTGCATCTCATTTCATCCAGTGCTGTGAAGTGTCTGTGAGGTAGGTATCATTATATCCATTTTAGAGGCTCAGGAACCAAAGGCTCAAGGTTAAGTTGTTTCAGTGCCACAAAGCTCGTATCATTCCAACCTAAGGTCTGGACTCAGGGCTGCTAGCCCCCAAAGTTCGTACTCTTTCCACTACTCCACACTGCCTCTCTGGGGGTGCCTCTGAAATGAGCCCACTTTGGAGGAAGGGAGCTTCTTGTCCCCGGATGTGTTAAAGAAGATGCTGGGTGATGGTCTGCCAAAGGCATTGTAGGTGCTTGGTGGGAAGCAGGGCAGGAGAGATAGGCTGATGTGACCTTTCAGGCCCTTTAGGAAAGTTCTGTGATTTTCTAAGAGAAGCAGAACTATTATTAAATAGTTGAGGAGCTGAAGCAGCCAGGCTAGGTAACTTCAAATACCTCGAGAGAAAGCAGGTCCCCAGAATAGCCTTTTGTAGCTCCCACCTGGGGCCAGAAAAAGGCCGCAAGGTCTTCCTCATGCCTTGATTTAGTGCCAGCAAAAGCCCTGTGGGAAACAGCTTCCATCCGCCCGGGCTTGTGCCTGGGGCTGTGTTGCACGGCAGGCCCGAGCTTGACAGCTCTGATGTTCTCACATCCCAGCTCGAGGGCCGTCTTTGCCCGTCAGCATCCCTCAAGCCCAAAGGGCACCGTGGTCCCAGGATCCTGCCTCCTGCACATGGCTGTCCAAGCTAATCTGTGCTGAGGAGGAGGAAGTGGGTCAGGGGATGCCACAGCCCACTGTAAGCCCTGTCCCACTGCTGCCCCCTGCCAGTGGAGGGGCTGCTCTAAATGGCAGTTGGAGCGAGCTTTCTACCCCCTGGGTAGCTGGACCTATTTGTCTCCAATTTTGCAAAGAAAAACCTGCTATCCAAGCTCCTAGGGATGAAGGAAAGAGAAGGCTGCTAATGAGCAAACCTGAATCAGACCCACATCCTCCCTGGCTGCTGAGTCTACTGCTGCTCAGACTGGACACTTTTTGAAAGCCTGGTCCTTAGAGGTCTCGAAATTGGAGCCTGAGGAGGCCTGGGAAGACGTGGGCTGGGGCAAGAGGAGGCTGGGGGAATATGAGATTCTCAAGGGTAGAATAGTTTGTAAGGTGGGGTCCCTGGAGGCAGTACCCCCCCCCCGGAGGAGGTGTCGTGGGGTTGCAAAGGGCTATGGAGGGTTTTTGAGTTCTCTCCTGGGCCCACTGCCCTGGCTGCTGAGTGGGTCAAGGTAAGTGTCTTTACCACAGCTGCCGAAGTCACAGCCCAGCCAGGACTCCAAGCGCTGGAAAAGGGGAGAGCTTGGTGATTTTAGGGGTTGAACTTGAACCCCTTTTGGATGTAGTCTCCTCACCTATAAAATGAGCCTCACCAGGGAGCACTGCCCTTAGTGGGAACCAGAAGGCTGACCACTTTGTACGTAATTTCCTTGAATCATGCAACCCCATGAAATCATCATCATTTCATCTTACAGATGAGCAAACTGCACCTAAGAGAGGTTAAGGAACTTGTGCAAGTCCACACAGCAAGTCAAACCTGGCAGGCACCGGCCACCCACACTCAGAGGAAGAGCATGGGAGCTCTTACTCAGTAGAAGTTTAAAACCTGTAACAGGCAGTGCTTGGTTTAGAGGGGCTTAGGGGAGGTCCTGTCCCATGGCAGGGGGCTGAACTGATGACTTTGGGGACCTCTTCCGGCCTTAGCAAGCTTTGACTGACAGGGCAGCTCTGGCTGAATGTTCTGTTGGCCACACTGTCCTCTTGTTAACATTAACGACTAAATTATTCTCTAAGTCGGCGCTCTGTGCTGCCCTTGAGACTAAGCTCGTGACTTATTATTCTTGATGTCTAGGGCCTGGTTCTCCATCAAGCTGTCACTTTCCTGAGTCCTTCCAGCCAGTGCTCCTATCTGGGTAGCAAGAAGCCGCCACAGTCTAGACAGCTGCCCCGGCATCGGGTCCCTCTGTAGGGTCCTCAGCTCACCCCACTCTCCTCCTGAGGACAACCCCTTCTCCCTGCTTCCAGCCCAGAAAGAGAAAGCAGAGAGAGAAAGAGGCGTCTCCGACTCTAGGGAGATGTTACCCACGGAAGCTGAGGGTTCTCCTTGCTGGGGTCATCAGGATTCCTTCCCTTCTCTCCCAGGTCCCCAGTTTTCCCCTCTCACCTCGGGAGCCATCAGCAGTAAGAAAAAGTTAAGGCAACTAGTTCATCCTTTTTTCCCTCGCTGCAGCGCTGAGATTGCTACAAAATGTAGCGTCAATCTCATTAATCTCCCTCCCTCCCAGCGGAAAGCGCTGCCTGGATTGCATTTCCGGACGTGGCCTGGGTGTAAAGCGGCTCTGGTGTTTCCCCTCCCCTCGCCCCACAGGAGCTGTCCTCGGTTCTGAAATGTTCGTCATCCTCATGCTCTACCTCTGGTTTGCCATCGGCCTGGCCTGCGCGGGCTTCTGCTGCCACCAGCTGCTGTTGATCCTCCGGGGGCAGACTCGCCACCAGGTGCGGAAGGGGGTGGCAGTGAGGGCCCGGCCCTGGCGCAAGAACTTACAGGAGGTCTTCGGGAAGAGGTGGCTGCTAGGCCTGCTGGTCCCCATGTTCAATGTTGGAAGTGAGAGCTCCAAGCAGTGGGACAAGTAGCAGACACTCCCATCATTTCTCTCTCTTTCTCTGTCTCTGTGTCTCAACTCCTCCTGAACCTAAGACCACAGCACCCTTGTCTCCACCCATGACTACTTTAACCTCGTGCTGGTAAGGTCCTAGCACCCCCTCCTGCCCTTTAACCCATAGAGAACAGCGTGGGCTGGTGGATCTGGACAAGGAGGAAAAATGGCCACCCGGGGAATGCTGGGCTGCTCCGAGCCAGCCAGGTGGCTGCTAGCTGTCAGGATGCTCTGCTTTCGCTTCTTCTCCTTGGGACCCCTACTTTCCCCCTCTGCCTGGCTCATCCGCTCCCCACCATGTCTCATGTCATCATGGCTGTCTGCCGGAGCCCTTCCTCTCAGCCCCGTGTTGGGAGTGGAGAGTGGATTCTTGCTGCTGGTATGAGACTCCCTGGACCTGTAGGCTGGCGAATGTTCAAAATCACCACGTGTGAGAAGCAGCTGAGTCAGCTCGGCCAGCTGCCAGGGAAGTTGGGAAAGGGTGGATGTGTGGCCACAACTCCTCCGTGGGATCGTGGGCAGTGGAGGGAAAGAGAACCCAGTAGCTTGTTGCCCACCCCACAACGTTCAAGGCCCTTTTCCTAGGAGACAGCAACCAATGGGCTGGTATTTACAGCTGCTGTTCCCTGTCCATCTTGCCCCAGCTGGCCACCCCAGACCAATCCAGGACCTGGCTAGATGCCTCCTTTCCCTGGCACTCTTCCAGCCTTTCCCCTTAGTCTCCAGCCTCCAGGCCTTTGCCATATGCCAGGGAGATGAAGAAGAAGGGGGAGGGAGAGGGGAGTTCCCAATAAATGAGGGAGACATGTGACTGTATAGCCGTATGGAAGGGGACACATGTGCGCGTGCACGCGCGCGCGTGTGTGTGTGTGTGTGTGTGTGCAAGAGAGAAAGAGAGAGAGAGATGGGGGAGAGAGAGACAGAGAGGGGTGGTGGTAAGGAGCATTGTTAGGAACATAGAGGAAGGATGCTTAGGGGAGGGGGAGAAGTGGGAGGGACAAATGGGCTCATCTATGCCCTGCATAAAGGACGTTCTAGCCACTGAAGCTGTTCAATGTTTGAGCGGCTACCTGGGGAGGTAGTGAGTGCTCCACTGGAGACATTCCAGCAGGGAATAGGCGGTCATCTGCAGGCATGCCGTGGAAGGGATTTCTGCACAGCGTCGTTCTAGGTGAGCTTAGAGATCCCTTCCTACTCCAAGATTCTGGTGTCCTCTTTGTGACTGCTGGGCCCAGAGGCAAGGTCTGCAGAAACGGCCGTGAGTTATTTGCTTTCATGGAGGCTAGGTGCCAACTCTCAGGACCCAACCCAGCCCCTGAGGAGACGTTCTCTGGAGAGATAGGACTGGCTGGATGGTTGAGGGGACTGGCATTCGAGGACAGGGAGCTGGGGCAGTGTCAGGTCAGGCAGGGGCAGTGGTGGGGAGAGAAAGCCAGAAGGTCACACTCTGAGGGGCAGCACTGCAGGAGTTGAGCTGGCACTGGGGATGACCAGATTATGAAGGTGTAATTGCGAGACTGCCCCTGCTCGTCCGACTGGCTCTGAATGGGGGCACTGCTGTGCTCTGGAACCCAGAGGGCCAGACCCCTGGGACATATGAGGGAGTGGGGACAACACAATACCCCCTCCTGACTGAGTCCCCAAGCCAATATGACATCCACGCAGGCAGCAGTGCTGAATCCACACCCTGAAATGTCCCCCAGTTGGCCACAGCAACCGCAACACTTGCTGCCCAACACCCTGAGTTCTTGAGCAGAGCCGGGGAGGACTTCACTCTGGTCCTGCCTTCGTGCCCCCTAGAGGGCTAACGTAGTAATGGCTTGGCCTGTTCATACTTCTCCCCCTGTATTATCCATCCATCCACCTACATATATTTATTGAGTGCTGTGTTCCCAGCCTCTTCCAGGCACTGGCAATGCAGCAGTGAACTGGATGACAAGATCCCTGCCATCAGGGACACTTGTCACTGCCACCTGTGCAATGATTCACACCCCCTGAAAAATGGTTACTCTGCCATCTTGGTGGCCAGCAGGGCAGGTCACCTGGAGGGGAAGGATGTGGTAGAGAGGGCGGAAGGGGAGCCGAGGCTGCCTCAATGGAGAAGTCATCCTCATCCCCAATGCCGGCCATATTTAGGCAGTGGGCGCAGGAGTGGGGCGGGGACAAGGCGTGGGCACTTCAGGCCTTGGCTCTCTCCTGACCCCGGAGCTCAAGCTTGGAAGCCAGCGCTGCCATCTCCAGCCTCCTGGAGGCTCAGCACAATGAGGCTGGACTCGCGGGGAGCGGGCAAAAGGGAGACCTGCAGGGGTTGGCTGCTGGCAGACTGGTCCGTGGGAGGTGCCGGTGGGGAGGTTGCCAGATGTGGGACTTGAGTAGCATTTGTACACATGGCCCTGTATTGTCCACGAAGATCAATAAAATTTGTGGTTTTAAATTGGATTTGATATGATCATATGGGCACTGTGGTTGCTAGCAGGGCTGGCGGGGCTGGACGCACTGATGCAGTCATACTAGCTGTTGAAATACTGAAAATAATTATTGAACACACTTCTGTCCGCTGCTGTCCCTGCTCCTCCCTGGGGGGCCTGGCTCACTCCACAATCCAGCACCTAAAGGGACGTCGCCTGGCACCTGCTGCAGCCCTCAGCCAGCATCCGTTGCAATTTGTCAGGGCCATGCTGTGTGGTGGTAAATACGTGAATTATCACCCCGGGTTCGTAGCAGGTCCACAGTTCTGGGGTTTGTGGACCCATGGGGACCAGGGATGGAAAACCTTATCAGGAACTTCCCTGTCCCTCCTTCTCCTCCTCTCCCTCCCGTCCCCATGTCAGAGGGCAGGTGGGGACGATAGTGAAGAGGAGAGTCCATCTGCTTCTACATCCCAGCCAGGGCCCCCTGCCCTCCTAGCCCCTGAGACATCTGCAGACCCTGGGCTGCCCAGCCCTGGGGACAGCAGGGACAGCACTGAGCCCTGCGGGGAGTGGGCCCTGAGAAGGTGAATGGGCATGGCCTCTGAAGCGCCCTAAAGATGAGCACCTGCACCAAAGGAGGGCACAACTGCAAAGCGCTGTCACAGAACCTTCGGCCTCGACCAGCGTCGTGACGGTGTGCGTTCCCGGAACACATGCCTACGGGCAGCCAGCAAGGCAGCCCCCAGCTGCGCTGTGGGAGCCAGATGCATGGAGCTGTGGCTCGCCCTCAGCAGGTTCCAGAGCGTGTCTGTGCTCCACAGTGCAGACACCACACCCGCCTTGCTCACCGTTGTATCTTTGGTGCCTTGCAGGGACCAGGCACATAGTAGGCGCTCGATGAATATTGACTGAATGAATGCACCGCTTTTATGCTCATTTGCTTACTCTCCCGATGTGCCTGGCACTGTGCTTTGCATATTGTGGGGCTAGAAAACAGATGAGGCAACTCTGTCTTTGAGGAGTTCCCATGCTGGGAGAGGTTCCTGGGAGTGCTAGAGGAAGGAGAGAGCACATCCAGCTGTTGGGACCAGGGGCGTTCCATCTGTGCAGGGCCTAGAAGGATGGAGGAGATTTCAGCAGGTGGAGAGGGGCAGGGAGGGCTTTCCAGGGAGAGGGAATAGGCCTGGGGCCTCCCTCACAGAGAAGCAGAGGGAGTTAAGGCTGAGAGTCAGGACCTGAGCAGAGAGGGCTTTGAATGCCAAGCTAAGGGACCTGGAGTGAATTTGACAGGCAACAGGGAGCCACGGAAGGTATTCAGCAAGGGAGCAGCATGATCAGAGCTAGACTTCAGAAAGTGGAGCCTTGGAGGATAGACTGGAAGTGGGAGAGACTGGAGGTTGAAGGACCCATAGGAGGCGTATGCTATATCTGGGTGAGATGGAACAAGGGTCTGGGTGGGGACGGTGGCTGCGGGCTGGTACGGAGGGGAAGGGTGCTAGAGGCACTTCACAGACATGGGGCACGACCTGAGGAGTGCTGGGGAGAGGGCCCGAGATGGTCATGAAAGTGAAGACAAGGTGATTAGCACGACCTCAAAGGAGGACTATCGTTGGGAGCATTGGGTGGGGAGAAAATCGTGATGCTGCGGTTCAGAGCCCCCGAAACGTTAGCCTCTGCCACTGGCCTATCAGTTGGTAGTGGACGTTGTCATTCTTAACTAACCACTCCGTAGCCTTGTGTGGAGGAAGGGGTCCAGGGGACACCTGCCAGTCATACTTTGCCGTACAACTCTCTGACTCCCAAAGCTGGGATAGAACCCTCTGCCTGTGGCAAGAGAGATCATGGCGCCTCTGGTCCATGTGTGGGAGTGAGACACTTGCCTCCCCACTGCCTCAATATTCCCATCCAGAAAGTGGGTACTCTGCTTTGGTCTGTGCCCCAGTGTCAGGTTAGGCAAAGTAGGAGCTGCCTCACTCGAGGCTTCAGGACCCCAAGGAGCTTTGGCAAGGGGACAGGCTTGAGGAGACTTGAACCCATGTTCCCCTCCACTATAATGACTCAGTCCTTAGGTCCCAGGGGCCATCTGTTAGCCAGCCTCCTTCCCTAGGAATGTGATTGTCCTTGCCACTGTCCATGCATTTGGTCTCCCAAAATGCCCTGGCTCCTCTCTGCACCCAGTGTCCTCTGACTGGCCTCATTGCTTGTGAGATTCCCTCTAATCTCCTGCCCCGCCTGTCGGCATGCTCTCAGGGATGCTTGGGAGGCAGCCCCTCCTGCCAGGGAGAAAGGAGGGATAGGCAGGGAGTGAGGACAAGGATGAGGACGCATTGCTCCTGCCTTATCTGAGATGCTTTGGAGGGGAGGCAGAACCTTGCGCCTGCTCCCAGCCAGGGCGGGCCTGCTGGTGGGGGTGGGGGTATCCCAGCTGCTCCTGATGCTGGCTCTGCTTCTGCCCTGGTTCCTCTCTGTGTACGGTACTGGCCAAGCTGCTCCATCCATTCCTCAAACATTCACTGATGGGCCGGGCGCGGTGGCTCACGCCTGTAATCCTAGCTCTCTGGGAGGCCGAGGCAGGCAGATTGTTTGAGCTCAGGAGTTCGAAACCAGCCTGAGCAAGAGCGAGACGCCGTCTCTACTAAAAATAGAAAGAAATTAATTGGACAACTAAAAATATATAGAAAAATTAGCCGGGCGTGGTGGTGCATGCCTGTAGTCCCAGCTACTTGGGAGGCTGAGGCAGGAGGATCACTTGAGCCCAGGAGTTTGAGGTTGCTGTGAGCTAGGCTGATGCCACGGCACTCATTCTAGCCTGGGCAAGAGAGTGAGACTCTGTTTCAAAAAAAAAAAACATTCACTGATGTTGATTCTATGCCAGGCGTGACGCCAGGAACCAGGAAAACAAAGATAAATAAGACCCAACACCTGACCTCAGGGAGCTCACTGGG